AGTGCCAAAGTCAGCCATTTTTTTCCAGTTTTTCCAACATAAAGTGGATACCATTCTTCTGTCCAATCATAATCCTCCACCACTTCGATCAACATCTTGTTCAATAATGTCTTCAGCAAGTACTTTTACTAGGATCGAAGTTGAACTTTAACTTTTTTGAGTAGAGACCCAAGTACAATTGTGTTTGGAGTTTTTGATTTTGGGTTTGTTATTTTGGGGATGGAAAATGGGTTTGAGATTATAGGGTTAGAAAGAAGTGGTTGCGGCAGGGTGGCTATGGGAGGTTGATGGCGGAGGACGAGGGGAAGGCGGTTAATGCATTTGAAATGAAGAAAATGGTGGAATAATTTTCCATGGAGACAAAGCCATATGGGAAGGCGGTTTGAAAAATAATGTCCACTTGTTTTGGTCCTTGTTTTAATTTTAATTTTATATAATTTACAATTTTTCAAGCGTATATTTCATTAAATTCTAAAAAAATTTACTAAAAATTTAATTTTAATCCCCATGAAACAAAGTTACATTTTCATGGGATAATTGTGGCAGTTCTAAATTTTTCAAATAATTTTCGAATTAATCTAAGTGTACAATATTCTTTGAGAACAATGGTTGATAATCATGTGTTTTCAAAATTCTAGTATGTGATGTAGAAAATAATTTATTTAAATGGATGAATATGATAATGACAAATAAGATGCTATCAACCAATATTGTCACCCAATATTGTACATGTAACATGATTCATAATCTTCAAGTTTTGTCTAAACTTTTGATTTGTACTTGGGTTGATCCCAAACATTTTAAAGTGGAAATTTCAAAAAATGTCCACTTTTCCATGGCCATTTGCAAAAATGTCCAAATTTTCTTACATCTCTATTTTACTAAAATTTAGACCAAAATGCCCTTAATGTAAATTTCAAATTCCACTGCTATTACAAATGTTCTCATATAATAATTAAAATTGTGTAGCTAATAAAATTTTGACACATAATCTATGCTATCTATTTGAAAAAGTACAAATATTAATTCATGCATCAAATGCTACCTACTCCCTAAAAATTGATCAATAACCACCGATTTTTTCATGATTTTTTGTTGGATTTCGATTGAATCAGTTAGGGTGATAGGTTTACACATGGAAATCAATTCTAATCATATTGTTAAATAATTTTTAATTGGATTATGTTGAAATGGGCAAATTCAATTCTGATAGTTTGCCCATCAAACCCGTCACAACCATATGACCCGGCCCATCAACTAAAAAAATTCTTACAAAACTCGTAAAAAGCAGAAACCAAAACTCAAGCCCTAATTACTCTCAACTCTGACTTCCTTCCACCTAATCGCCGACGCCGATCGTTATTCATCAGTCACCTACTCCATTCATCAGTCGCCCTTGCTGAATCCTTTAAGTACATCATTTTGGGAATTTAATTGTTTATAATTTCAATAGACGATCTTTAAGATATTTGCTTCTTCTTCTTCTGCAGCCTGAAACAACAATATTTATACGGCCATACAAAAGGCACGACAGTAAAGATACATTTTTAGGTGAGTTAAGAGTCAGATTTACAGATTGGTCTTAGTAATGTACATGTTTTGAGGGCTGAATTTGATTTGCACTCGGAATGTGTTAGGTCCAAATTTTTAGTTGTATATGTATTGAAGGTTGATTATGATTTGCACACCAGATAAATATTTGTTGCTTTTTGGTTGAATTCTATCCTATTTTTGCTTGAATCTTGCAGAGCTTCTACACATTTTACGGTCAGTTTTTACGTCCGTACAATTTTTTAATGTTTTTTGGTTGATTAACTCTTCACGAGGATATTTTTCATTCTTTGTTTTAGATAATACCATAATGGAGTTAAGGAAAGTTGAAAATATGACGAACAGACAGTTTACTAAACTTACTACTACTATTATTTAGATATGTGGGGAAAATATTATGTCAGCCCTAATGTTGAAACAAGATGTTATATTCTTATGTTCTTTGATTAATGTCAGTATTCATGTAATTTCATGAGTTTAAGCATTGATCTGTGAGTGAATACTTTAAGAATCTTTGCATATCATGTTCCTTTCTCCCTCATCTTTGCATTTCACTGTAAGAAGAATTCTTGTTAGATACATAAGCATTATTTAGGATATACATGATGACATAATCAC